CTGGCAATTCTGCATCGCCTGAAGTTATCAACCGTCTCGCCAGATCACCTGTTGATGATGAAAATATCAACCGTGTCGCCATATTCATCACAAACTGCTTCGCAGAGGTCCAAGATCCTGTCGTATCACGGCTACTGGACTTTGAAGACAAACCATATTGGATGAATAAAGACTCAAGCTACTATTCAAAGGCCAATGCGGTGGAGAAACGCAGCGAGACGATGAACATCCTTTATCACCCGATGCAAAATCTCGTCTTACACAACACACCGTAGAGGAAGTGCATCAACATAGATTGGGACTGGCCTTTCAAAATCGACTGAAAGATATTGCCAATACGGATGGACAAACTGAGTCGGTTCAGGCCTCTGATAGGATGAATTGGAGGAGGGAATTGGTGCTGTAAATGTCCCATATCGAAGTATGCGCTAGCACGAACTTGAGGCGGTACTAGTGCCTGAACTTAAGGTGATATACCCGCAGCTGTTGGTGGGATATGTAAGGAAGAGTGATGGGGAAGAGGGAAATGAAAAGCGACATGAACCCATACTGGACCACACTTCATTTAGCGATATAGAAACAGAGTAATAGAATAAAGAGATTTGTAGGCTCATTGCCGTTTGGGGGTAAAGTCATCATTTGTGAAAAGATGCCTAAAGTTGACATGCATAAGTGATCAATGTGCTGGAGGGGATTGCATGGCCTTGGCATTGAAGGAGCCGGAGCCAGTTGTTGTAGAGCACTCAGACTTCTATGGTTCTTGACCCCGAAATGTCACACTTGAGAAAGCTCAATTAATCTCATGAGTATTTCTTTGAGATCGCGACTTCTGTACTAACCATCAAGGTTCCTTTCGAGTCGATCTTAGAGTCAGAATGGCAAGGCCACACCTTGATGAATACTACCTTCTTCATCACAAGGAAGCACACTCATTTTCTCAAACATCATCAATCATAATTTAGCATCGATCGGACTCAAATCAATCATCACACGTTAATGTAATCTTTATCTGTCTCTCGATGCTCTTTAGGTAGTTTACACATCTATCTTATAACGACAACGGCAGCAGCAAATTGAATATGCTTCGTAGCAAGCAAGGAAAAAGAATACCTGCTGAAGTGTGTCTGAATATCGTCGAGCAAGCTCTGAAGGATGATCCAAAGAGTATTAAGGGCTTCGTTACTATATCAAAGGTCAGTGATACATCACAAAACGGAGGGTTTGGGAGCTGACATGTGTTAGGACTTCAACCTGTTGCTGAAGAGATATGAAAGATCGCTTGTCAAGAACACTCTTACACCGGGGATAAATCTGCATTATAATCTTCTTCCATCGTGCGCCAATCCGGAGTGGGTGAAGAACGCATCGCCTTGCTCGTATAGATGGCTGTCTGAGCTCCACATGAGAACCAAACATGACAGCCTCTATCTAGCGGGTGAGTCTCTCAACTATTTCAGCAACAGAAGACAGTTCTTTCATTTGTCCCACAAAATATGCTGATTGCCTTTCGTACCCAGAGCATCGCATGTCCTTGATGTGGGGTAGCACTTGGCCACTGTTTCCTCCTCGACCAGGGAGCACCTACACGACTCCTCCAGAGTACGCCGAGTTCAACAAGCACATGCGGATGCTCAAACTGCAAGGTATCGAGTTGCTGTATGAGATTGCGGATTGTACTGTCGGACTCAAGACAGGTCGACAGGTTGACTTCATGCACGAGTTGGAGCCTCTGGAGCTTGCGAAGCTGGGGATAATGGTTGTCGCGCTTTCTCAAGGTCTCAGAAACGTTTCCACGCTTTCGAGAACATGAAGTGCTGATCTGAACAGGATATGATGATCTTCACGGATCACTGGTTGAACATCTCCCTGGACCTGTAAAGCGTGAACGAATTTGCGTGTATAAAAATAAGCTGCTGCGATACGGACCGTACTTTGCCATCGCAGCAACAAAGAACGACCCTTGGGTGACTACTGTGATTGACGAAGGGCTTAATGAACTTGGGGCGTTTGAGAGCTCTACGATGCCCTGGAAGGTTTCTGCTCCATCGTTGCAAAGTCAGCTCTGGAAAATACTATGTCAGAAAGTTGGTTGTTCGTTACCTGATGGCTGGGAGAAGGCCAAGGAGTTGGTGGAAGAGGATTTGAAGGCACGGGCTCTTGACGTGTGAAGACGAATAAGCAGTAGCACAGTGTACATAGATCGTGGATGTGTTGTACTGTGAATCCAAGAGATCGCCAGTGCTTCTTCATTTCATCTTCTTCGTGAAGAGCCATGTATACAGTACATCCGGCGTGAGAGAGTACTCGCCCGCCTCACTATATGATCCACAAATATCAGATCAGGTCTCCTCGATGTCTCATGATACAACTGAAGGATCTGAGCCAACGGTCCTCGATCTTGTGGTTTGGTCAAGGCGGAATGGGTGCAACCGTTTTCTCCGCAAAGATTACTTTGAGCCAAAGCGGTATGGTTCGTTTCCTCGAGAGTGTAGTGAAGTGTCCCAGTAGTGTTTATCGTTAGTAAAACCTGGCTTGCTGTGAAATAACAAGTTAGCGCCGGTGACAGTTAATGTCACCGTAGTCTTGGATTGGATGTGTGTGTGTGTTGCTATTTAACGTTCGGCGGGCACGTGCTCAAGTCACGTGTCCTGGGAGCCCTACGGATTTAAGGACGCCAGGGGAGGAAGACCCTGGGGTTCGAACTAGTATATAGAAGATGCTACACATCCACCACCTTTATACAGTTCAGCAGCCTACAGAAGGTAGCCTCTCGCGAATGATTATGTTTGCTGCCAGCTTTCAGTTGGTCCCCTTCCGTGACCCCTGGTCCTTACATTTCTGTACAACTATCCCGTATATTCTAAAGGTTTGTATCACGTGAACAGTTGAGCTCACGTGCTTATGTCGCTGGAGCACCACCAATCATCCAGATGCGCACAGAGAAAACAGGGTTCAAGGATTTGTGGAAAAGGAAGATACCAGAAATCGATGACCCCGGGTGTGACTGCGGTGAAGGGCGACAGACCGTGGGACATATCTTGCTGAGGTGTCGTAAATATCACAGCCTGCGACGAGAATTTGGTATTGGCGGCCGAATGGACTTAGGGGCAATCTTGAAAGAGTCAAAACTAGTAACAAAAGCAACCAGATCCATGGAACAGACACATCTCCTTGGGCGATTTCGGAGGTGCGACACAGCGCAAAGAGACGAAGTGGAACGCTGGGGGGGGGGGGAACCAAGGTATGGTGACACGAGAAGGCTGGCAAAAGCAGCAGGCAATGAGCCTGGGTTGCTCTCATAGAACAAGCAAAGCACTCATTTTGACGCCTGTGTATATAGTCGTAGATAGGAGCCAGACCGTTCGGTGGGAAGGTTGCTTAGTCACTCTAGTAGTGATGAAGTGAAGTGTGTCTGCCAGACGCGGTTAGACTCACTTCGGCAACTGGCTCCAAACTGTGCCATCACGGCATAGCAGTCCGAAAGACTGCTGCATCCGTGTATGACATAATCAGTCAATTAACGAAGCACCCCAAGACTACTCCACGGGTGTAACCCTTGACACTGTGGACACTTGTGACCATCTATTTATCTTCTTCCCCAAGACCAATGTCTTAACATGGACAAGATGTCTTAGTGAACGTAATCTTGGTTGGAAGTGAGCGACTTATCATTCGGGAAAAGATGAGATTGCATTTTTTGCTTGTCGTTGCCAAAAACGATGTGACTGCCAAAACTGCCTATAAACGCCGAAACTCCATACTCCCGCTAAACTTTTGGGATATTGAACATGTCGCTACTGATGTCAAATCTAGCTCTTGACACGGTGCACCCATAGCAGTTTCTAAATTATCCCCGTAGGACCCCGTAAGGAGTGACTTGGCAATGGCTCATCATACTGCACCAAAGCTGTGCAAGAATCGTTCCCAGTGGTGTTCGTGTGATAGGTCGGATTGTTTGTGTATCTGCTGGATATGGTGTCAAGGTCGCTTCCCTCGGCAAGTTTGTATGTACCATCCTCTTAACAGACTTGCTAGGGATCATCGCAAACAATAACCGAGGAGATTGAAAGGAACCCCGGAGTGTTCCTTCTGCGTAGCAGAGTTGTTGGTGTGTTGACAGTGACATCGTTCATCGCGAACGCGCAGAAAAGAAGTTTAGAATAGCCATGTTGAGCGCTCGTCAAAGTGATTAACAACCAGCCTCAAGTTTGAGTAGAAGTGAAGCTATAGCATAGCGTATTGATGCGTCTTGATTCGGGTCCATTCTCTAGATCGAACACCAATCTGCAAGTAACAGGTGCGCTCGAAGATTATAACAAAGATGACTGAATAATAAACCAGACGGGGCAATACAAGATACCAAGCTTTCAGAGGCTCTATGCATTATTGAGCATGATTGATCAGACATCGCTGTCAGCCTATCATAACACCTGTCGTATATCGACAACGCCGCGCTTGTGGAAAGAAAGGAATAAGGACCACGCCTCATGGAATACTGATATCCAATATCTTCACCTTCACTTGATAGGTGGCGCAAGCAATTCTTGTCAACTATGTACCATGTCGACGCTCTTGCGGAACAAGAATTAGATCCCTAATTTCCGCAAGCACAGCATCCTAGAGATAAGAAGGCCACGCAATAGCAATAGTGAATCAAATACTGGACAGTACTTCTCATCGCTCATTCTATGCTCAGAGACCATGGTCCTGCTTGCATGCTGTTCTGCTCCGGACTAAGGCGGATCATTGAGAGTGTACAAGCGATACGCTAGCAAAATACAATCTCTAGCTTTTAAGGCTGCTGTGGAAATTCTGCTCTGAACAGAGCATCAGGCTCGGAGCACGGGAGTGTAAATTCGATAATGCTTAGAAAGCAAGTGGTATTAGTGGTTTTAAGAAGTGTTATCTTGAGTATCAGGGACATCACGCTTGGTAGTGATCCTGGGGTCACCTCAAATATATCATTATAACATATTAGCTGTTTAAATACATCATCAATTGGACAGATGGCCGAGCTGGTTATGGCGCCAGGTTAAGGTTACCTTAATCCTCAGATCATACGATCTAATTTCCTGGTCACGAAAGTGGCGTGGGTTCGAGTCCCACTCTGTTCAAAATTAACTATTTTTGTCTTTTACAATTCTGTTAAATGTTCCTAGTATCTAATGATACCTTTTGGTGGTCAAACAGCAGAGAAAGAAAAGGAGGGCGTGGTACGTGCAGAGTTTTCTCCTTTCCGCATAACAAAAGTGGAGTGGAGGGGATTTACTGGCTTTGGCGCGAAGTCCAGCAACTTGTACTCAGCTGAACATCACTTTTCCACCTTATAACGTATTCAGCATTGATGGATGGGTCAAGTGACCTGCAGGCTGTTGAGATGCGGTTCAGAGCCGTGAGACTTGTCTAGTCTTTTTCTTTTTTGATGTTATTCAGATCCTAGTGGACACACGCCAGGACGCAGATACGCCCTGTGTCGCCGCTTCAGACTTGTTATACATTGGAGAGACTTCCAGTAGCACCCACATCTATTTCAGCGATGTGTCGCAGGTCGTGGCTTATAGTCATTCAGTCGTAATTGGATAGTACTGAACTCCAAGGCAAGAGATGCAAGCCGCAGGCCAATCAAAATGCATGTGTTCGGATGTCAGCACGCTTTTAAGATGTTCGTCCTAGACCCTCCCCAGTTCAAGGTTTATTGGAGCGATTATGGGTTAGAGATGGAGTCGACATGATTGCTGGCCAGTGGCAGGCCAGAAAGTGGCATTGGTGGCTTCAAGTATTGATGTGTCTCGTAAAGTTTGATCTAGAGAAATGGACTGGCCCGGTGCTATTCATGCCGGAGTCAACAATTCTATGCAATTGGGTCGGCACCGACTTTGATAGCTGGCATGACATCCGAAGCGTCGATGCGGATGACACGTCAATGCTTCAGGTACGAACAGCATGTCACAAACGATACATGATGCTGCCTGATAGTCCCGCTACAATTGGAGATATGCCTCTTCATCTCAAGCACCTACCTATTGTTCAGTCTCATCTCTTGCAGTTCTGTGCCTTAGGTGTGCCTAAGTTAGAGCATTGGAACGAGATGGACAAGATTGATACCACTGGTCACCCCTATGGTATCATCTCCTCTAGATATCAGCGCGGCATCCATCCGGCTATTTCAGAACCCCTGGGCCATCATCAAAATCGCTCTATCTTCCCGCAATCTATAGCAGCTGGTATTAACCCATAGTTACTGGAAGGGTCATGTAGGAGAATTCGAAGTATCAATGATGCACAAGTAAACTGGAACAGGCCTCGCATTCCATGCACAGCTGCAGACATTAAACCAAGCTCTTTCCTCGTTTCAAGTGCTCAATTATACTCTGGCATGGCAGATGGTCAAAGGCTTTGTCACCCACTAGCACCGTCAAAAGCTTCCAGATCTACATTACAGATCTACATATTTGGCGTCAAGCCATCCTGCATTCAGACCCTCGTGTCCCTCCGTCTCCTGTGGAAGTACACCGTAAGGCTTATATCTGTTCCCCATGCACTATGGCGGTTGTTACGTTGAGCTCCCACACTGTTAGCGAGGGCTTCAGGATTCTCGCTTCGGCGACTAGAGTTGGCGGACCTCCCAGTTTGATCTGCTTTCTTCACCCAGCGTTAACAGAATTGCATAGCCTATCTGCTGATTTCCTTCATGTCAGTGATATTCATTAACTTTGTCTACTACGCCATCACATATATGTTGGATGACTCCTGATTCACTAGATGTGGAGAGTGCTACCTACCTATCTCCTACGAACATTCACTTTGGGAGGCGATATGATACTAGTTCGTGATGCGACTACAGACGCTTGTGTCAGGATACTGCCCGAGCGGGCGACGGTTAGGCAAATTATGCGAGATCTTACTTACTAGGGCTGCAGCAACAAAGTCACCACCCAGGCCGGCATTCTCTGCCATGAGTAACCGTCCCTTACCTAGGTCTGCTGCGCTTCAGAAATAGCACTTATGCTGACACCAGAAGGGCAAACGTGCGCCACATCATTCGGCCGTGGGCCGAACGCGATGTTACTTTCTACTCCCTTTGTGATTGCTGCTGAATGACTAAAACAAGCGCACCCAGAGTCGGTGGTGTTACGGCGTAGGTAATCTGTGTCTGCTCACAGCTGTGTCCAACAGCGCGCGATTGTGAAAATCGACAGGTCGCACGCACTACAGCTGCGAATCCGTGAGCACAATCGGAAGTCGTGATCGGGACGGTAACGTTGCGAACTCGAACGAAGGTATTGTGTCCTGGAAACAGATTGCATGTATGTTAAGAACTTTAGCCAAGTTTACGAATCTCAAAGTTGTGACTTATCGAATCGAGATTCGGTTTCGCGGTCAAAATAGGCTTTCATCCCTATTTTGACAACACAATTGGTATTGGAGGGTGGTACTTGTTAGTTCTTGATTAAACTTAACCGACCTAGTATCATTACAGAGTGTCAGTAAATTTCAGTGCCTCACCTCGTGGTTTCGAAATTCAGAGACGGTGAAGACCCGTTGATTCCTGTCTAACGTTGCTGCCACGGGTCACAGCATGCTGTACTGCAATCAGCACTGGAGGTAACAGCACGAATGAGTCAATTCGTCACTGCATTGAGAAATGCCCTTGACCTCTGTGATCATAAAACAGAAATTGAGTTGAAGCTCTAAAGTGTCTCAATCTCGAGCTGGTCTAGGTTGATGACTTCGTACAACGCTCCCATCCACACCCAAAATAATGGTAGGATTTTTGAAAGCCGATATACCAAAGAGCAAAGTGGCCTCCACTTGCTACACTGGCGTAGTAAAGCAATGTTGGCCGTTCTTGAACGCCAGAAACGCCGTCATAAAGCTGCACGTGTCGTTTCATGCCACAGCCGTAATAATCGTATAGAATTGCCCATACCAAACGCCTGATTCACCACCCACTACCCAGTTTCAGGCCAATGACTAACAGCTCATTCCCTGTCCAAACGCAATCCGAAGCTTATCCGACAAGAAAACAACTAGAGACTCGTGGACTCTCCTCTCGGAATCCAGAGTGGTCTTGTTGAAAAGGTCTCTGAGCTTAGAAATGACGTTCTCCTGTGTCCTTGTCAGCCAAATTTGTTTGCAGTGGCCCGGGGTATGCGACAGGTCTACCCACGACTTTCCGAAGCTCCATCTTCACAATTTCCGCCTTCAGCTTCTCTTCGTCGCCCTCGTCGACGTTGTACGCTCCCAGTGTCAATCTTGCTGTGACGGCCTTCGAATCGTGAGACATATTCGGGTGCTCAACTGCCTTCCATGCGCCACACGGCCGCTCGTAAATGTGTATTATCTTGGCAAGCAACGATGCTACCAGAAGTACTACCGTGCTATCAGCTGCGCAACTGCACTTTAGCGTCGCGAGACAAAGTGCCACCGCCTCTTTGTTGTGGACCAGAGCAACGTCAAAACTAATGTGGGTCGAGTCTGACAACTGCTGCAGAGTGCTCAGAGTGAGAACGGTTCCTCGGAAACAAGAAGAACAAGATGTGAAAAGAGAGTTCGGGGTTTGCTGGGTATGGCTGGGTCGTGCCATTCCTGTAGAGAGCGATAGGAATAGGGAGTCTGACATTGCTGGCGAGGTATGGCTCGTAGATGTGTTGGTAGCCGTCGAGGCCTTGTGTATGTGTTCCGGATAGGTAAGATCTGCCATGGGGAGAAAAATGTCGTCACCGGAATAGATGTCTTCCTTGGGAAAGACGTTAGACTGATATCCTTCTAATGGGAAAGGCATGTCGTATTCAAAGATGGACGGACACACATCCATATCTAGTGATGAGTACGAGGCAGTCGCAGTCAGATCCATGTTCCAGTCTGTTGGAAGCGGCGGAGGTGTTTCCACCTTTTTTGGAAGCTGAGGCTGTTGAGATGCTCGTTTTCCTGCCCTCAATGATATACCATATATGCAGTCAATGTTATTCTTCTTGCACCTTTGACACTGGGGTTGCTGCTTCGTGCATTTGACCTTCGCTCCATTGCAATTATCACAAGACGCTCTCAAGGTAGGTCCCATTCTGGGATGTAGGTTTCCTGAGTGGAACTGCTGTGGTATGAGGCTCTGCTCCGTTTTTAGGTGAAGTTGATATTGATAGATGAGTTAAAGTCTCGCTCTTGGGTATCGAGGGGTTGTTCTTGCAAGAGTTGTATAGCTTCTTGACAGTTTGGTCTGACTAAGGCTTGCCGTAGGAAAGGAGCGGAAGTCGTAAACAGTTCGTTACATGGGCGGAGTAAGGACTATATCGGAGTACGTTCACCCACATATATGTTTTGAAGCACAAGCTGATGTAATCTAACCTGAATAGCATGGGTACAGGATCTTAACCTGGCGTTCTGCGAATAGTGAATAAGTGGGCGGTACTGAGAGAGGGAGCATGCGGCGCCTTTAAGCGAGTCGGAATTGCTATGTTGATTGGCAGTTTTATACAATGCCCGCCATTTAGAGTGTTTGGAATGATATCAAGCCACCTACGTAGACGGCGCGACCCAACTCGCAGCAGCCATTCCGGATTAGAGGGTAGGGTGTATGCTGCCATGCACGTCCCTTGGCCAGTTTCCCAGAGCAAAGATGAAAGTGATTTGTGTTTCTCGGTGGCGGAGGATGGGTGAATTGATGTCCGGCAGCGAAGATAGGACTCCCCTTTCAAGGGCCCAGACTAGGAAGGCCAAGATGTTATGCATGGTGTGCTTTCGCTGTAGAAACTGCAGAATCGTTCAAGAAACTGCCCAGGGGTAAAACTTCTGGAGATAAGAGCGGCACAGCAGAACTTACCATCGTTGGTGAGGATTGAGCAAGAGAACTGGACTGGCCATTGGAAAAGGCATGAGCTCCTTAGACACGGTATTTTACCTGTGATCGCCACAAGCCGACCACTCATGCAGAAAAGTTCAGTATTTCACGCATAAAAGCTCATGCTTCGAGGGCAATATCAAGCCGCCTGCCGCATATTGGAGCCATATATGCAGAGAGACAGTAACCGCCACTTTTCTAGGCTTCGACTTTGGCGCAAGTCCCACCTGTTAGATCAAGGGGATTTGGACCTTGCATATAGCATTGCTCTTGCTG